CAGGTGTTCTCAGCTCGGCTGATGACGAGTCCGGCCCGGTTCTTGTCAGACGCACCGGTTTTCTTCCCTCCTCGCAGCTTGACTCGCGGACGGAAGCGGCTGAAGCTCCTGGCGAGAACATTCGGGCAGCATCAAAAGAGTTACCATGGCGATTACGTGTTTACGTCTGCATCTCTGCTCCCAGCAGCTTCGGCACGGAGAGGCAGTTTCCATGGCAACAGCCTTGATACCTCAGTCTGACTGGAGACGGGACCGCTGAGCTCGGTGTGTGTCCATGTTCCGGTTTCTCCGGCCTCAGCAGGGTGTTTGTTGTTGTTGTTTTAAAATGTTAGTTTAATGTTTTGTTGTCGTTGTCAACATTGACCATGTTGGTATCGGTGGCAGTTCTGGGGTCCAAAGCCCGATTCAATTGTTGCTGTCTGACTCCAGACCCTGGGACGAACTGAGCTCAGGTCAACTGGTGACGCTTCAAAGCTCAGGTTATGGGTTTCTATGAGTTTCTGTGTGTGTGTGTGCGTGCGTGTGTTTGTGTGTGCGTGCATGCGTGCGTGACTGCTGACTAAACATTACAAAACACAAATATACAGAAACAATCAAACCAAGTGGTCGATGTGATCATTAAACATTAAATCGCTCAGTTATCTGTTTATAAATGTGGTTCATTTTCACATCAGATGTAATCCATCCATCCATCCATCCATCCATCCATCCATCCATCCATCCATCCATGCATCCATCCATCCATCCATGCATCCATCCATCCATCCATCCTCTTTACCCGCTCTTTCTTTTCGGGTCGCGGGGGTCAATGGTGCCCATGTCCAGCCATCACTGTGCAATAGGCGGGGGACAACACTCTGGACAGGTCTCCAGTCCATCACAGGGACACATGGAGACAAATGAGACAAACAGACATTCACTCTCTCTCTCACCTCGGGACAGTTTAGAGTTACCAGTCAGTCTAACATGCATGTTTTTGATCTGTGGGAGGAAACTGGAGTACCTGGAGAAACCCCACACACACACGTAGAGAACATGCAAACTCCACTCAGGAAGGCCCCGTGCCGGGATTTGAACCATGGCGACCTGCTCACTGAGAAGCGGCAGTTGTACCAACTGCACCACCGTGCTGCCCCCCACTTACTATATATTATCAATATTTTTAACGTCTTTAGATTCTGCAAAGCTCAGTGTTTCTCATTTGTCCATATTTTACACTCTATATATACAACACTGTATTATTGAAGGCATTTTGAAGGGTTCAGTGTATTGCCCAAGGGCACTTCAGCCCTGATCCTCTGAGTGGAAGACGACTCCCTACAGCTGAAACCGCCCGTTTCATGTGTTTATTCCCTCCGTTTCAGTATTAAATTTATGTTTTAATCCATATGAAGATCATAATTTTATCCATGCCTGACGCAGAAAAATATTTGAACTCAAGTTTTAATGTTTTTAATGTTTGTCAGAAATAATCCAAGATAAAATTCATGCATCCTGTAGTTTAAATTAACATGCTCAGTAATCAAATATTTTGTTTTTATTTCCACTAAATGATGGATTTTTTTAATAGTTAATTTTTAAACGAGTAATTTCAATGAGTTTACAAGTTTTTAGAGTAACGCTGGTTCTTCTTTAAACGACTAATTCCTTGACTTGTTTTGTCTCGTCGTTGAAACATGAAATCATTTGTCCTTTGGGGGCTCCTGTTTGTTTGGCCACACGTCCGTACACACACCATTTATACTTTTAATCAAATAAAAGACTCGCGGATCCTCAGAGCTCTTCAGAGTCATTGAGGGGAATCGATGCTCCTTTCTAAAAGTTTGTTTCTTCTTTCAGATGTGAAGCTGGTGAGTTCTTCTTCTCTGAAATGTGAAACTGGGTTTGAGAAGCGGCTCGTCGAGCTTCAGTTTTCATTCTCTGAGCTCAGAATTCCTGATTAAAAATCCACATAATCAGAAATGAGCCGGAGCTTTCTAATTTTATTGGCTGGTTGCAGAACTGGGTCGCAGCTTGTGGAGCTGACACCGGGACAGAAAACGTACGGATTCCGAGGAGCGTCTGACCCGACGGACAGAAGCGCTTTAAAACAGACGGCAGAGCGCACTGCACCGGGTGTTGCTGTGTTTTTACATCCTAATCTGCAGGTCGCATCAAACGAGCTCCAAAAACTGAAAACATGTTTAAAATCCGGTTCAATTGACAGATGTTGAGCCAAACTTTGGCGTGGTAGTAGCTGAGAGTCGTTCCTGACAGTGTTGACTTCATTTCAGAGTTGATGAGATGACAGTAATGCGTGTTTTCCTGGACGTGTGATGATAAAAACAGGCTCGGGGGTCGTTTTAAGAGACGTGCGTGTGGTGGGCGCTTCAAACACGCCTCAGCTCCTCACGAGCTTTAGCTGCTCTGGACTTCAAGTTGATTTCTTTGCTACAGAGCTAGCAGAGGATGTTGGAGCCTGCACTGTTTTCATCTAAATGGCTCTTTGCCCACACGCTGCTCTGACCTTCAGGCCCACCTACTTGTCATGAATATTTATAGCTGGAATGATTTATGCAGATGGAGCCGATGCAGGGAGGAGATGGACGGACGTTCGTGCATGCGTCTGCTGGTTTTGGTTGGAGAACCCTGGACGTGTGACGTTCCTAGTTTCATATTGTGGTCGTGCTTGAAGCGACTCCATACAGGAAGATGGAGACGCTACGGGACGGTCCCAGGTCAAATTCAAAGACCTGCCCCTCCATGTAAACAAACAGGACTTTAGCTGGGTAAAATAATCATTTTAAATAAAAGTACCGTGAGAAATGTTTTCAGGTGTGGACTCCCACAGCTCCTACGTTGCTTCTGGATGTTCAAATATTTAAATATCTAACAGGTTTAACTAGTTTATTTAGTTACTTCGTGCTAAAAAAAATGGTCATGCAACACCATTGTTGTGTGCGGGAGAAGTGGGCGGGGCTTAAAGCCTCACTCCATCTGTTAGTGGACAGACTGGGTACAAAAATTCAACATGGCAGCTTCTGTAAACCGGGTCCTGTTGGCTTCAAGTCCCAACGAGAGCAGGTGAGGACGCTTGGTTGAATAATTTAACACGACTCTGTGGCTCTTATGGTTCATTTTTCTGTGAAATGCTGAGACGGACGGTTTGACGTCATGCCGTCACTTTTATTAGCATCGGTTGAAAAACAAACGCATCTTAAAAGTCTAGTCACATAAATGACATTGAGATCATTTTATATTGAGAAAATCTGACGTTTTAGTTGTTTTTAAGTTCAAGGTTCTTTATTGTCATTTTCATTTGCTAAAATTGAATAGTTTTCATTTGATACGATTTCTATCTTAACATGTGATTCTTGGCCTGCCAATGTGTATCTATTCTTACCAAACCCAGCCGGTCGAAGCAGATGGTCCTCTTGTCCTGATCCTGGTTCTGCTAAAGGTTTCTTCCTCATGAGGGAGTTTTTCTTTCCACTGTCGCCTTCATGCTTGTTCAAGATGAGAGTTCAGTGATGGAGTTAAACTCAAAGCTGCTCCTCAGATAAATAATGTTCAATTATTATTTTATACATGAATGTTTCTGTTAATTATTATTTTATACATGAATGTTTCTGTTCAATTATTATTTTATATTTGAACGTTTCTGTTCAATTATTATTTTATTGATGAATGTTTCTGTTCAATTATTATTTTATAGATGAATGTTTCTGTTCAATTATTATTTTATAGATGAACGATTCTGATCAGTGCCCGAGACGACTTCTGTTGTGACTTGGAGCAATTTAAATAAACTGAACTGAACAAATTGTCACAGTTACATCCAACAATAGCAGAAATATAAATTGTAAAATAAACAGTAATAAGGATCTAAGATATAAACTTAACAAATACACTAATCACTAATAGTGCAAATCAATACACCAATACGTTTTGGTCAAGCCGTAATAATTAAACAAGTTGTTAATGACTCTCAGCTACTACCACCCCAGCTCTTAGCTCAGCTTGTATAAAAGTGACTGAGTTAAAGCTCTTTTTGTGGTTTCTTGGTCTGTTGGTTGTGGCGACCATGCTGGACTCTTCACGGTTGTTGTAGACCTTCATCCAACACGTTTTGGAAGTTTCTTTAAAATCTGTCCGGTTGTTTGTGAGATATGTTAAAAATTATTATTGCCTTTCGGCAGCGGGCGATCAAAGAACAAAACCACCAACGACTCTGGACTTTGTCGTGCTAATAAGAATTTCTGCAGCATGTCTGCTCGTTAAAGTGACTCGGTCTTGGGGGGTCAAAGGTCAGGCTAGAGGTGGGTCTTTGATGTGATTGGTTGAAAAATGTTGTGTTTTGGCGGACAGCAGTGTGTTGAATGATGTTTTTTTTTGTGCTGGAACATGATTTTGAAATAAAAACAACTCGAACAGCGTTTCTGTGCAGATGCGAGACTGAAAGGATAAACTTTGCGTTTCCACCAAACGGCGTTCTCGTGTGGATGGAGCCTTCTTCAGCTGAAGTTAAGCAGCTGCTTAAATGAAGCAGCTGATCCACGTCACGGCTTGGTGTCTGCTTTAGGAAGGTGTTCGAAACGATTCTTCAGATTCCTCATCTCTCTCCAGCCCTCCTTCCTGTCTGCCATCTTTAATTTCTTTTGACGCGTGGCAGCTAATTGAGCAGTTTTCACGCTCGCAGTGCCCGTGCAGCTCAAGGCTGGTGACGTCCTGCGGGTTCTGGAGGAATATTGTGCATGCTAAGCGCTTCGGGCGCAGCGTGATTCACAAACAACACGCGCTTAGAATGAGAGATTATTTTCCTGCAGACATTTTTATCCACTCGACGTCTTCCTGCTTCGTCTTTACGTCACTTAAAACATTTTCAATCTTTTTTTTTGTGACCCTTAATGGAATGTATGTAAACAAGCCTAGTTGTAAAATAGATGAAATGTGAATAAATTACTCCGTAATGAAATGTGACGTTGTGTTTCTGTGTTTGTGACCCATTTCTCTGTCTTCAGATGTTCACTGGCCTCCTGAAGCACACGTCTCCTCAGGCCACCCCTGCTGCCGCCGCCTCGGACCAAGACGGCCACGCACAAACCGCGGTTCCCACAATCCCACGGGGGCACCTGGTCGTTGGCTCCAAGGACCAGCTCCGCCTCCTTGCCCCCGTGGGCAGCGTGACGACGTCCAATCACTGCGCTGCAGCCGGGGTTCACGCCATGAAGCACTCCAGAGGAGCCCCAAGACCGCCGTCCTCTCTGAGCGACGAGGATGACGGAGGAGGAGGAGGCAGGGTGAAGAAGAAGAGGAAGAAAAAGGACAGGAGAGAATGGGAGAGAGGAGGAGCCGCTGTGGAGGAGAAGGACAGCAGCAAACCAAAGAAACGGACGGAGGAGAAGGGGCCGATGGTGCTGACGCTGAGGAGGAGCAAAGAGCCCAAAGAGAGGAAGGAGCGCCGCAGGAAAGAGATCGACCAGAGGAGCGTGGCGGGGGGGAAAACACCGGGCCCCGCAGTGGCCCCAGAACCAGCTCAGGTTCCTGTAAAGGTTCCCGGGAAAAGAGGAAGGAAACCGAAGATCAAAGTTCTTCCTCCCGAGGCCTCGAATCAAGGTTTGTTGATTTTTACCCCGACTCAGCGTTTACATCGTTTTCCTGTTTATTTTGGTTTCAGTTTAAATAATTCTGTTTATTTTATCTGTTCATTGATCAAAATGTTCAGCTCGTTCAGGAGGTGGAACTGGGACTTCTGGATTTTGTAACTTTTCTACAAATCAAAATATTTAACTTTATTTATGAATATTTTCCCCATAAAAATGCACCACCATCTTTCATTGTTGTTAAAGATCTTCTTTTTCTTTGTTCCATCCATCCATCCATCCATCCATCCATCCATCCATTTTCTTCCTCTTATCCGGGGTCGGGTCGCGGGGGTAGCAGCCTAAGTAGGGAGGCCCAGACTTCCCTCTCCCCAGCCACTTGGTCCAGCTCCTCTGGGGGAATCCCGAGGCGTTCCCAGGTCAGCAGAGAAACATAGTCCCTCCAGCGTGTCCTGGGTCTTCCTCTGGGTCTCCTCCCGGTGAGACGTGTCCGGAACACCTCACCAGGGAGGAGTCCAGGAGGCATCCTAACCAGATGCCCAAGCCACCTCAACTGGCTCCTCTCGACGTGGAGAAGCAGCGGCTCTACTCTGAGTCCCTCCTGGATGATCGAGCTTCTCACCCTGTCTCTAAGGGAGAGCCCAGACACCCTGCGGAGAAAACTCATTTAGGCTGCTTGTATCTGAGATCTCGTTCTTTCGGTCACAACCCAAAGCTCATGACCATAGATGAGGGTGGGAACGTAGATCAACCGGTAAATTGAGAGCTTCGCCTTTTGACTCAGCGCTCTCTTCACCACGACAGACCGGTACAACGCCCGCTCACTGCAGACGCTGCACCTATCCGCCTATTGATCTCACGCTCCATTTTTCCCTCATTCGTGAACAAGACCCCGAGATACTTGAACTCCTCCACTTGGGGCAGGACCTCCTCCCCGACCCGGGGAGGGCACTCTACCCTTTTCCGGCTCAAGACCATGGCCTCGGATTTGGAGGAACTGATTTTTCTTAGTTCTTTATCTTTTATTTGGAGGAGGTAAAGCCAATTTTGAAACTTATTTAAAGTCTCTTAGCTGTGGCGGCCATCTTGAGTCAAATGTACATCCAAGAACTTCTGAGGGTTTCATTAAAACTTGTCCTCTGGCTCATGGGATTTTTTGCTAACAGACACTGGTGAGACAAACGGGAGAAACAACAACATGTGTTTATTGTTGGTCGAACCTCAGATCCAGGCGGAACAATGCGGGTTCTGTTCTGGCTCTGGAACATGGGATCAGCTCTTTACACTCACTAGGGTCCTTGAGGGGTCATGGGAGTTTACCCATCCAGTTTACGTGTGTTTTGTGGACTTGGAGAAGGCTTTTGATTGTGTTCCTCGGGGTACACTGTGGGGGTGCTCCGTGAGCATGGGATTGGGGGCCCGTTGTTACGGGCTGTCCGGTCTCGGTACAAGCGGTGCGAGAGTTTGGTTTGTATTGCCGACAGTAAGTCGGACCCTTCTGGGTGGGAGTTGGACCTCCAGGACTGCCCGTTGTCACAGATTCTGTTCATAACTTTTATGCACATAATTTCTCGGTGCAGCCAGGAGGAGGAGGGAGTCCAGTTCGGTGGCCTCAGGATTCATCTCTGCTCTTTGCAGATGATGTGGTCCTGTTGCATCATCGTGATCTTCAGCTCTCACTGCAGCGGTTCACAGCCGAGTGTGAAGCGGCTGGGATGAGAACCAGCACCTCCAGATTTGAGGCCATGGTCCTCAGTCAGAAAAGGGTGGATTGATCTTCAGGTCGAGGGTGAGGTTCTGCCTCAAGTGGAGGAGTTCAAGTATCTCGGGGTCTCGCTTCACATTTTTGTCCAGAATTGAACCGTCTGAGTCCGGAGTGGTTTCTGTGCGTCGGCCAGCTCACATTTGTTCGCAAAACAAAATCCCCTCGTTGATGAAGAAGTCTGGACGTCTTTTCACTATTATCATCTTTAAAAGCAGCACACTGTTTTTTACCAGCAGATATTTTTATGTTTTTGCATCTTCTACGACGTGTTCTTTGTTTGAGCACTAATTTGAAGGCAGAGATGATGAGCGTCCTACACTTAAATCCTCGTAATTCCCAATTAGACGTGTCGGGAAGAACGAATGTTATTATCTCCTTGTTGGACCTAATTAGGAATTAGTGAGCGTGTGTTTGCACGTGTGTGGGCGGGTGCATCAGTGTTCTTTTAACGCAGGAAATCAGAATTACGTCAGGGATGTAACCAAAGAAGGTTACTGTTTGCAGAAGACGACAAACTTCTGTAAAATCAAGAGTTTCCTCTTCAGGTTATTTAAAACGGAATCATCCGGACCTCATCAAGTCCTGAATAAAACCTCGGATAAACAACGCATCATCCTCCGTTGTGTAGTTTGTTCTTCAGAGGAAAAGATTCAAGTCTAAACTTTGTCAAATGACGATGCAGCTACTTTCCGAAACATTCAAGTTTCTTCTCTGAAGCTCAACAGAAAATAATGATCTGACGGAGCCAGACTCTCATGGGCTTTCATGTAAAACTTGAGGGTTAAACTTCTTCCTCTTTATAATTTTTGGAGTTTAATTAATACATTTTGCTTTGGTTTTATTGTTTTAGTTGTTTTAATCTGGCAAACTTGCTTAATATTTACAGAATTTACAGAATGAGAGGCACGTAGCTAATGACAAGCAGGTTGGAGGATTGAAGAGCATTTATTATTGCTGATTTATTTTACAGATCAGTTAAAATTAACTTACCATGCTCTGTTCAACAAAATACGCTACACAGTGTTGCTTCCTGCTTCGGCTGTGCTGAAAGTGAAACTTAAAGTGAACGGTCATGAATTACACCTTTTGAAAGAAAGGACACGGTTTGTTCCCAGTGTTTATATCGGTGCATAATGAGACCTTCATCACTGATACCGATATGTCCCCAAACTCCTAAATCGGCCTAACACTCGACCCTATCGATGTATCGGTTCGGGCTCTGATCTTTAATAGTTTTTGCAAATTTCATAAATGTTATTGGACGTACTGCTTAGGAGCTCTTTCTTGATTGAGAGTCATGGCTTCATGTCTGTATTTTTAAATAATTTTTTCTGAAGCTGGAAAAAGAACAACAGTTAAGAGTAATAAATGTGCTTCAGTTTTTGTGTTTTCTCTCACCAACAAATCTCCTCACCTTGTGTGTGTTTCCCTGCAGCAGTCCCTCCTGTCGCCCCGGGACAGGTGAACAACGCCCAGGCTGCCCAAAGCCACGGAAAGAGGCAAGGCCAGGCCAACAGCAAGACGCCGGTCCCCACAGCACCAAAACAGAGGGGCCGAAAGCCCAAGTAAGACCACAAGTCTGAGGCTCACTCACGTCACTCACATGTGGTACATGTGGTGGAACCACATTGTGTACAGGGTCTCAGTTACGTCCAACAAATGTATAAAATGTAAAGAAAAACCGTAATAAGAGCTAAGATACGAACTAAGAAATATACTAAGCACGAGTTGTACAAAAACAATACGCCAAACAGCAGCAGCACGAACATGAGTCTGTGTGAGCAGGTGAGCACGAATGAACACAGCAGCATGAAACAGATCAGCAGCATGAGATCAGCAGCATGAGATCAGCAGCACATATCAACAATCAAGTGCCATTACAGTGATTTTTTTTTTTCCACAGTGATGATCCTGGTTAGGGATTCACGAGTCTGACAGCTTCAGGGTAGAAGCTGTTCCTCAGTGGTTCTACACTTAATGCTCCATTGCTTACATGTCGACAATCTCCAGATCTCTCCTGGACTCGCTGTAGTTTCTGTGCCAGGTCACTAGCTGGGATTTTTGTATTTCGTCAACGGTTGCATCCAGAATGGTGACTACACAAACAAAAGAAACGTGTCTCCGCTCGTCGTGGAGACGGCCTGAAGCTCTAATCTGAGTTTTGGAACAACTTCCCCCCGGGGCCTGGATTTAAAACGTCTTGGCGTCAGAAAATCCAATCACTGATGTCGTGTAGACGAACGGCCAAAACACGACAGAAATGTTCCAGTAAAATAAAACTACCACAGTGTTGTGTAAAGCGGGCCGGTGTTTGTTGTTGCTCAAAGAGGTGAACCTGAGAAACTGTTTCAGTTTATCTGCAGCGCTGAATCTTCACCAGCTGCAGCTCTGAAGCTGCAGATGGCGTCATTTCCCTGTTTGAGGAAGAGTAGAGTCTTTTAAAGGCTGATGACTGGACCACGGTGTTACTCAAACCAGGACACAGCTGACTTTCTAACTCTGATCCCAGGTCAGATTATCTTCATCAGTCAGAGGATTCAAACACTGACGTGTCTAAGTTTAAATCTGGGTCTAGGTGTTAGTTTCACTGAGTGAACTTTATTTTGATGATAAATAAAACGATCAAGTGCAAGTTTTTCTTGATCCGGTCTTGGTTGTTCCTCATCAGTTGTTCCACTTCCTGCAGAGATTCTGGCGCCATGCCGGTGGAGAAGAAGAAGAAAGGGAAGAGGAGAAACCAGGAGGTCCAGGAGGGAGGGGAGAGTGACGACACCACCTCCATGTCAGCTCTCAACATGGGAGGGGAGGACAGCCAGGACGCTCTGGATAACTCTGTGAGTCGACAGGAAAGGCTGCGTTCAACGGCCTGAAACATCGAATCACAACGAGATAAACGCAACAGAAACACAAAAGAAATGTAGAAATGTATCCATTTCCTGTTGGCCTTCCTGAGCATCATGTTCGTCTTCTGTGTGCGTCCACGGTTTATTTTAATGACCGGTTGAATCCACCAACCGAACACTATTCTTTTATATTTATATATTAATATAAGGCATGCACATTTTAAATATATTTATTAAAATGTTCATTCAAGTTCACTTACACTCCAAACCTTTTATACAAAGTGATGTTTTTTTTTCTCGATTATTCTTATTGAACGTGAGTTTATAGAAGTAAAACCAGGGTATTAAAACAGAACCATCTAAAGTAAAGCTCACCGGAATACGTTTCATATTAAATGTAAATAAAATATGAACATCTACATTAATTTCAGAACTGTGCCGCTCAAGGTGGCTGCATGTTGGAGTAGCTCTCACATTCATTCTGAGATTTTACTTTTGAAAACTTTAATTACGCTGTTTTTGGATGCTCACTTCCTCTGGTATCAGATGCTGTGATGCTGGCAGGATTTTTACTGAAACTTTTTTTACTGTTGGACATTTGTTACGATGCGTAACCATAACAACAGGGTGGCTTTCTACAACTGGGAGCAGCTGATTAACATTTCAAAAGCTCAAATCTCAACTACAGCCCCAAATCCCAAATGAGTTGAAAAGGAGGTGCCGTGGATGCATTCCCGTCTACCTGGAGCCAGTGCTTGAGTGCCTGACTGCAGAGATCTTGGAGGTAGTGGGAAACGCAGCTTGTGACAGTGGGAGGACCAAGATCATCCCCCAGCACCTGCAGTTAAGTCTGCGGCAACAAGGGGCTTGGCAGGCTGCTGGCCATCGCTCAGGGAGAAGTTCTGCCCGACATTCAGGCAGTCCTGCTGCCCAAGAGGACCGAGAGGTCTGCTGGGTCTGGGTGGACGGATGGACATCTGTAGCCAGTTTCTTTGGATCCGCTGTGGGACGGACTGCTACAAGAGGTCCTTCCTGCCCAAAGCCTGTTATTCCGTAATGACAGTGAACGCAGCATCTGAGCTGTTGTTTCTGACCGAGTCAAAAAAATTATTGAGATGCAGTTTTATGTTCTGTGCATTTGATCAGAAATAAAGTAATTCTCTGATGAAATAGTAATTTATAAAAAAAAAAAAAAACTTCATTTAATCTTTGATATTTAACCTGGAGTCAAATTGGGACATTTGCAGGTTCTTCCAGAAGGATCCAGAAGTTTCATAATCCTTGTGATTGAGTTGGCGCTCCATATATGGGCATGATTTCCTGTCCTAATTGTGTTAAAGGCCACTAAAGCTAAAAAAAAGAGATTTATTAGCCTTAACCCCGTCTCATCTTTACTCCCAGCTGAATTTTCTCTGCGTCTGTGTTTCCAGAAGCGGCGTTCAGGGCGGCAGGTCAAACGCAGGAAGTACAACGAGGACTTGGACTTCAAGGTGGTGGACGACGACGGAGAGACCATCGCCGTTCTCGGAGCCGGACGCATCTCGGCGCTCAACGCCACGGCTCTGGCTTGGCAGGCTGAAGTAAGCGTTCTCAGACTTGGAGTTTATTTGTCGCCCGCCTCGGTCGTACCTCAGACAGTTTTACAGATAATGAGCTGAGTTTTGGTTGTGGTGGTGACCGAGAGTCATTCTCAACACATCCTCAGAGTGCTGACATACTGTCGGAGATTCATGTTTAAAACTGGCATGAAGGGCGGCGGGTGATATGCATTTTGCTTCTTTGTTGGATTTCTAAAGCCATATTGTTATTTGTCCATGTAAACTCAGCTCGTCTGTTTCTCTGCTGCTTGTCAGGAACCACCGGAGGACGAGGCCAACATCATCGAGAAGATCCTGGCTGTCAGAAAATTGAAGAAAGAGGTAAAGAACACATGAAGTATGCGTTGTACCTCGTTCCTCTCCTTCAGCGAGCATCCGCCGTATGAGAAACATTACGTTCACTTTTAGTCTGCACCACGCATGAAGTGTGGGACGTCTATAAACGCCCCGCAGAGCAACCTGGGTCAAAAACAACAAGCCAGAACAGTGAGCCACAGAAGGGGCTGTCGCATCCGAACGGTTAAACCCGACACGTTGCTACGCCCCTGGTGGAGTGTGCACCCACTCCTTGAAGCCGGGATCTCTGCTGTTGTACGCTATAACAGTATCACCCAAAATCCAGCAGGATGGCTCAACAGAGCTATCTAGAGACCTCATTGGGCCAAAGGTTTGATTCCAGTGTGACCTCGGAGCCGTCCGATAAAAACTGGATGCAGGAGGGATCCCCAGACGGAGCGTGGAGGTCTCCAACCTGCTGTGCAGTTGTAGCAAGAAGTAGAACGTTCTATGAAAGAAACGTCATGTTGAGTCCACCTTGGGACTGTTTTCTGAAAACGTAGTTTGGGAGTGTCGTCCTCAGATGTCTCCGTTGGTGCCGTCTCTCTGCACAGCAGGACACATGGAGGTCTGCGGTGATTCTGACCTGTATCAGAGCGCTCCTCGGTGGCTCCTGAGCTCAGAGCAGTGGTTGCTCAACCTCTGTAGATGTTTTTCTGACTGAGCAGTGGAAGAGCTACGGAGCTTAGATGAAAGGTTCGGAGCCGCTCACCGTGGTCGTGAGACGGGGCCAAATACAGTCCGTTTTTTTCAGCGCCTTCCAGATCCAAATACTGCCCGTAGCTGGACCCTGTGATGTGTGTAGACAGAGGTTTGTTCCTGGAGGAGAATGAGGTTCTCCAGGAACAGTTCCAAGATGAAGTCTGGGAGGACTGAAGACTGTTTGAACCGTGGCTGGCTCTGCTGGTAATAAGACCAGGAGAACTGCGATGGTTTTCATGCAGGTGGAGGAGAGGGACACTCCATATCCGGTTCTTCAGCTGCACGCCGGTACAGAAAGCAAATATGTGTGTCCTCCTGGTCCATTGGTGCGGCGGGCAGCAGCACCCTGAGCCGTCATGCTGTTGTCCTCCGACAGACCATGAACGTCAAGGTCGATGTCCAGCACGTCCTCGTCTCCTCCTCTCCCTGATGGAAGTCCAGTTGAAGCTGAGACTGAGCAGCATCCTCCTCTTGTTCAGCCAACCCCTCCATCATCTCCTTGTGGTCTGCCCAGCTGGAAGCGGACACTCACACTGGAAAACTGTCCTGATGGGACTCTGATGAAACCGTGTTCCCAGACTCGGAGTAGTGGGTCTTGCCGTGAGACGGCGTCCTCCCAGGACCGACAGAAGCTCACGGTCCTCGGGCTCTCCCACCGCTCTCTGGCCGTGAACGCACACCGATGGACAAGCCTCGCGCTGCTTCTTCATGTGAAGCGAGAAGCCGTCCCCTGAGGACAGAGACGTGGTGTCCCGTACTCCATGCGTTGTCCTGTCAGCGTAAAGCGTCCTGTGCAGGTTCTTCACTTCTCTTTCTGCGTCCTTTTAGACGTCACCAGAGGACCAGTCGGAGGAAGCCGAGGAGTTTTACGTCAAATATAGAAACTTGTGAGTATTTTGAGTATTTTCTTCAACAGTCATTTAACTTTAGTGATTTTGCTCTGAGTTTTTTTTTTTTAATTATTATTCATTCAATTATTCCTAAAAACGTTTTGTTTTGTCTTTTTAATTTTTATCACTTTTGTTCAACTCCTGCTGCTTTAAATGTTATTTAATTACCTTAAAGACAGAAGTTCAGACCACTGATTAAAAAAACCATCTGGAGTTCAGCTCAGAATAAACTCGAGCACCTAAACTGTCCATAACTTATTTTTAGATGGACTGTACTTGTACAGCTCCTTTCTGTCTGATCAAGACACTCAGCTCTTCACAACAATCTGAGCCTCATTAACCCCTTCATACAGCGCTCTACTGTTTCTGTACACAGAATAATCAGAGCTTTCAATCACATTCAAACACCGATGGGACACACATCAGAGGCAGTGAGGGGTTCAGTGTCTTGCCCAAGGACACTTCGGCATGTGACTGCATGTGGAATTGAACCCCCATCTCTCTTATTGGAGGACGACTGCTCTAACCACTGAGCCACAGCCGCCCCTATAAAAATCACTTATAATCTGTATGAAGACTTTTTAAATTTTTATTTCAAGTTTCTGTTTTAGTAGTTCCTCTGGCAATAATTGAATAGAACCAGACAAAATTTATTTTTTCATTTTGAAATAAATTTATATATATATATATATATATATATATATATATATATATATATATATATATATAATCTTTGTATGCACTTAAAGATCAAGGTATTCTGATTTTTTTTTTTAAACAAGCAGGTAAAATAGTTGGTAAAACCTCATCTATAGATGATGAAATATAATAAGTTGGTGGTTTAATGACTTCTGAACTGTCCCTTTGTAGATTCTGCTTATGGATCACATGATGCAGCGACTGTAACCATAGCAACAACATCTGATTTGCTGCTTTTCAACCCACTAATGATGAGAGAAGTCTTTGTTTCCTGTTAAGTTTTTTGTAGGACATCCTGGTTTTGTTACCTGGTCGGTCGGTTTGATTCAGTCCTTTCATGATGGAGAAAAATAAAAAATAAGCGTTCAGGCATTGAGGTGAACATCCAGGACGTCTCCTGTTTTGAACTACCTGCTGGATCACATTTGGTCATTTAATTTCTGTTTTGTGTGAACAATTTATTTATTTATTTTTTAAGATGGAATCCTTTTGAATTTAAGACTGTGGACAGATTTCCTGTGTTTTAAAAAATAAAATGTTTTTTTTTGTTTGTTTGTTTTCCAGTCAGAATGAATCCAAACCATTTTAGGACCGCACGCCTGGAGCAAAATGATCAAATTTAATCAGATCAAAACTTTAATCTCTGGTAAAATCAAATGTTTGGTTGATTTTTTTGTTTTGTTTCCATCTTTGTGTCGTGTTTAGTTCTTACCTGCACTGTAAGTGGGCCACTTTGGAAGAACTGGAGAAGGATCCCAGAATCCACCAGAAGATTAAACGCTTCAGGACCAAACAGGCTCAGATGAAGCATCTATTCACTGAGGTAAACGAGCCAAGCCGGGTCCGAGTTCTGGTGTGGAAACCCCACAGTTTGTGGTCTGTGGTCCGGTCTACACGAGTCTCTGGTGAAGACTCAGCTGAGAGCGTGGATTTTCTGCTGCAGCCAGTCACAGCAGAGTTCTCACTCAGACAGTTCATAATCAAGAATAAGTTTTAATTTTAGTCTGTTTCTTTCAGCCCGATGAGGATTTATTTAACCCAGATTACGTAGAGGTGGACCGGGTTCTGGAAGTGGCCGTTACCACGGACACAGAGACCGGAGAGGTCTGTAACTCGCTTCCAGTTTGAGATGAGTTTTTACTGAAGGCCGCCTCAGCCCGACGACACCAACACACACACTCTGTGCTGTCTGCGTGTTGCTGCAGGAGGTGACCCACTACCTCGTTAAGTGGTGCAGTCTTTCGTACGAAGAGGCAACGTGGGAGCTGCAGGAGGACGTGGACCCGGAGAAGATCAGAGAGTTCGAGGAGATCCAGAAACCGCCAGCAGACCTGAGACACTCGGTGAGGAGAAACGGTCGAGATACACGAGGATGATGCTTTTATCTTAAAATAGACCTAAAAAACTTTATTTTTCCTGCTGAAGTCGACCAAATATGTGATCTTAAAGTTTCTACTTTATTTTTTTAGTTTAAAACCTTTAAAGGCACTTAATGTAAACCGTAAAATCAAGCATAAATATTATCCTGAGTTGTATCCAATGGTTCACTTTTACAACAAAATTTAATTTCCCTTTGGGATTAATAAAGTATTTTTGAATTTGAATTTTTGAATTAAAAAAAAAAATTTATTTGTGTGATTTTTGTTTTTATGACAGGAGCGTCCGCCTCCTGAAAAATGGCAGAAGTTGGAACGTTCTAGAGATTACAGGAACGGGAACCAGCTTAGAGAATACCAGTTAGAGGGGATGAACTGGTTGTTGTTCAACTGGTACAACAGGTGAGCACACACACAAAATATACACAGACACTCAAAATACACACAGACACCCTTAAAATACACACAGACACACTCAAAATACACACCCACTTAAAATACACACACACTTAAAACACACACACACACACACACACTAAAAGTACACAGACACTATAAAAGTATGCAGACACTCTCTAAAAGTACGCAGACACTCTCTAAAAGCACACAGACACTCTCTAAAAGTACGCAGATGTTCTCTAAAAGCACACAGACGCTCTCTAAAAGTACCAGACACTCTCTAAAAGCACACAAACGTTCTCTAAAAGTACGCAGGTGTTCTCTAAAAGTACGCAGGTGTTCTCTAAAAGCACACAGACGCTCTCTAAAAGCACGCAGACGCACTCTAGAAGTATGCCGGCGCTCTCTAAAAGCACGCAGACACTCTCTAAAAGTACGCAGACGCTCTAAAAGCACACCGACATGCTGTAAAAGCAAGCAGACGCTCTCTAAAATCACACAGACGCTTTCTAAAAGCACACAAACGCTCTCTAAAAGCACGCAGATGCTTTCTAAAAGCACACAAACGCTCTCTAAAAGCATGCAGACGCACTCTAGAAGTACGCTGGTGCTCTCTAAAAGCACAGATGCACTCTAGAAGTACACCAACGCTCTAAAAGCACGCAGATGTTCTAAAAGTATGCAGACGCTCTCACATACGCTCTCTAAAATCACGCAGACGCTCTTTAAAATCATGCAGGCGCTCTAAAATCACGCAGATGCTCTTTAAAATCACCCAGACGCTCTCTAAAATCACCCAGACGCTCTCTAAAAGCACGCAGACGCTTTATAAAAGCACAGAGACGCTCTCTAAAAGCACCATAAAGCAGGCAAAACTGCATTCTAGTTTGTGCACATTATTGCTTTGCCAAGCTAACCTAGTGCAGAAGTCACCTTTTTACATACTGTATACTGAGTAAGAAATTGGTGGCACTGGTATGGACTGTCATGTTTAATATTACATAATAAATAGCTGAAAATATCTGTTTGCAAAATATGTCATGCACAGTTTTCTGTCATAACTCAGCCATTTGTTAACATGTTGAAGTGAAATGCCACGTGAATAGTGTCTCAAATCTTCCCTTTCTTTCTAAAATCCTGGTGAAAATAGTTTTTATTCAACTAAATGAGTTTTTGAATAAGATTGTAGTTTTTTTAATCTTTCAGTCTCGTTTTAAACAATTACACGGCTCTGAAACGGCTTTAATTAGGGTTTGTAATGACATTCTGTTAACAATTGGTTCTGGTCAGTTTGCGATACTTGTACTCCTGGACCTTACCGCTGCTTTTGACACTGTTGACCACAGTATCCTTATATCATGGTTAGAACACTGGGTTGGGATTACAGGTGCAGCATTAGAATGGTTTCGTTCTTACCTAAGTGGCAGGACTTTCTGTGTTAAGGTTGGAAATGGTGTATCTGCATCATCAGTGCCTCTTTCCTGTGGGGTCCCACAGGGCCCAATTCTCGGACCCTTTCTGTTTTCACTGTATCTGCTCCCTTTGGGGTCTATCCTGAGGAAACATGGTCTTTCATTTCACTGTTATGCTGATGATTGTCAGATGTATCTGCCCTTAAAACCTAACAGTTCCTGCTCCATTCACCCTCTGTTAAAATGTCTTGATGACATCAAGACATGGATGGCTATGAACTTCTTGTTTTAATGATCAGAAGACTGAAGTCATTGTGTTTAGCCCTAGCTCTACTGCTGTCTCTGATCCTGTAAACCTTGACTCTCTTGAGCCTTATCTTGTCTCTGAGCAAGACACCTAATCCCTAATTGCTCCCTGGGCGCTTACATAGCTGCCCACTGCTCCACTTGGGTACATCCCAGGTGCGATGGGTTAAATGCAGAGAACCAATTTCACCATTGTATGGAAACACAATGATGACAACATATAGCACTTTACTTTAAGCAGTCTGTTACAAATCTTGGGATGGTTTTAGATTCTGATTTTAAGTTTAACAAATTAACTCTGTTCTACAGAAAAGCTTCTTCCAGTTTAGGCAGATATCTAAGCTTAAGTCCACGTTGACCAGATCTGACCTTGAAAAACTAGTCCATGCCTTCATTACATCCTGGCTGGACTACAGTAACGCACCTTTTGTTGGGGTCAGTCAGGTCTCCCTGTCACGTCTCCAGCTCGTCCAAAATGCTGCAGCTTGGCTCTTAACAGGAACTGGAAGGTTTGATCATATTTCACCAGTTTTGTCCTCCCTTCACTGGCTCCCTGTACGTGTCAGAATAGATTTAAAAATTCTCCTGTTGACCTTTAAGTGCATAAATGACCTTGCGCCCTCATACTTCTCTGATCTACTTCAAGCATATGTTCCTTCTCGGGGCTGAGTTCATCTGATCAGCTGCTTTTGGTCGGAGCTCAGAGGAGATCGGGCTTTTTCAGTTGTGGGCCCTAAACTCTGGAAAAATCTGCCCCCCAACGTTAGACAGGACACTTCCTGTTTTTATATCTCTTCTAAAAACACAACTGTGATCACTGACATGTAACACGGTGTGATTTGATTTCATTGTTTCTCATTGTTTTTGTATTTTTGTTTTTATTTTTAATGAGTTTTGATCTTACTGTTGAGCACTTTGGTAACAGCTGCTGTTTTAAATGTGCTTTATAAATAAATATGGCTTGACATGAAATTTGGTTTAGCGTAGCCAAGAGCAATCTGATCTGACGTCCACACCAAGTTGATCGCAATTGATCTTCTCCTGTTTGTAGAAAAAACTGCATCCTGGCCGACGAAATGGGACTGGGAAAGACCATCCAGTCCATCACCTTCCTGTACGAGATCTTCACCATGGGGATCCGTGGCCCCTTCCTCATCATCGCACCGCTGTCCACCATCACCAACTGGGAGAGGGAGTTTCGCACGTGGACGCACATAAATGTCATCGTGTACCACGGCTCGCAGATCAGCCGGCAGATGATCCTGCAGTACGAGATGTTTTACAGGGACGCGCAGGTAACTGAATCGTGTTCGACTTCCAGCTGCAGCTCTTCGTTGTCCTGTGAATGAGCCAGGAGCCGTTGAAGTTGCTGAGAAACAGCAGCCATGTTGGTGAGGGAGTCCTGTTTAACCCGCGCACGCCAGTCTGGACATCAAAACAACAAAAAAGGTTGAATCATGTCATCTGGACTTCGTTTTTTTGTTAAAAAGAAACGTTTCGCCCCTCATCCAAGAGGCTTCGTCGGTCTGAGGCCTAGCCATCTGGTATTACC